TTTTTTTTTTTTAACCAGTCACCTATTGTTACACATTTAGTAACAGTTTTTCTTTCTATTAAATCATGCCCTGATGAACATCCTTGCATCTAAATGTTATTGCATCTAGAAGGTTAGTGATAAAAACCCACCACAATTCTTTTTTTTTTTAATTTTTATTGCAGTATAGTTGATTTATAATGTGTTAGTTTCTGCTGTACAACAAAGTGAATCAGTTACACATATATATGTATATTCACTGTTTTTTAGATTCTTTCCCCATATAGGTCATTAGAGTACCGAGAACAGTTCCCTGTGCTACAGAGTAGATCCTTATTAGTTATCTATTTTAAATATAGGAGTATGTATATGTCAATCCCAATCTCCCAGTTTATTATTCCCCCCATCCCCCCCTGATAACCGTAAATTTGTTTTCTACATCTGTGATTTTGTTTCAGAAACCACTGTGAGTCTTATAGGAATCTATCTTATATGGCCTTTGTTGTTGCGGCTCAGTCGCTAAATCTTGTCTGATTCTTTGCGAACCCATGGACTGCAGCATGCCAGCCTTTCCTGTCCTTCACTATCTTCTGGAGTTTGCTCTAGCTCGTGTCCATTGAATCAGTAATGTTAGGATAGCACAGAACATCTGAGTGACAGCAAAAGTTAGCAGTCATTATTTCTCAAACAAAACCTGAGTCAAGGAAAGAAGTCAAAAGGGTTTTCTGCTCTTTACTCTCTGGAAAGTTTTATGTGTATTATTTCCTGTTACAAATTTGAAGGGAAGGGGACTCGGTTCCTCATATATTTTCATTGTTCCAAGCCCTATATTAGAGGAAATATATTTAAAATAGGCCTCATGAATGACTAGAAGTGGATGTTTTTATAGTGACACTTTCACCTTGCAATGCAAATTTGTACATTCCAACTTTATCTGTGAAATTATCTGTAGCTATAGTTATAAGTGGCAGAAGAGGAAGAGAAAGGGTAGTTGTGGAGAATTACTGTAAAATGCAGACTAATAGTGTTTCAGTGGAGAATAGAAAATACTTAGAATGGAGAGCTTTGAGTAACTTCACAATCCATTTATCAAAAGAGCTTATAATGGAACTATCGTTTCAAGGGAGGTCAAACACTAATAAATATTGAGAAAAGAAAGTTAAAAGGACATCAAGTTAATATTTTACTATCCATTCTTTGATCTTGGAAAGCCTGAAATATTTTTCCACACTAATTCTGTGATTTATTGATTCACTCTTGACAATTGGCTTATTGGAACGGACACAGATGCCTTGCTTTTAACTACAGCTTCAATTTCTATAATGCTTTACAATGCCAATGGATTTTTATGTATTTACTGGAGTCACTTATTGATATTGTTCTGAAATAGTCTTTGTGAGTTAAAAACTGGATTGTTGTCAGTAAAAGTAGCTGACATGTTACTGATTTTTGGTTTAAATGCTATAATAACCTCTCTTGGTTTTGTTGTATTGGTTTGGGAGTTAGTTAGTGTTAGTTGCTCAGTTGTGCCCGACTCTTTGCAACCCCATGGACTGCAGACCATCAGGCTTTTCTGTCCATGGGATTTTCCAGGCAAGGATCCTAGAGTGGGTTGCTATTTCCTTCTCCAGATGATATTCCCAACCCAGGGATCTAACTTGGATCTCCTGCACTGCAGGCAGATTCTTCACCATCTGAGCTACGAGGTTTGGGAGGAAAAGAGTTAAAAACCCTGGAGTTCATTAACTCATCCATATCTACCTAAAGTCAAATACATTCAGAATCTGATCATGTTCTCACTTCCATTGTACCACTCTGTTCTATTTTTATTTTTAAGTTTTGGCCTCACCCCAAGGCATGTGGGACCTTAGTTCTCTGACTCAGGACCAGGGGTTGAACTGGCACCTTCTGCTTTGGAAGGCAGAGTTTTAACTACTGGACTGCTGGGGGGAGTCCCTGGTCTACTTTTAAAACACCCATAAACATCTCATCTCTATCCTGAATTGTTTTATAACCATCCAACTGGCCACTGTACTGCCACCTTTGCCTCCCTTTGTTCTGCTCCCAGAAGCCAGGGGAGCTGCTAAAGTGAGTCAGGTCATGTTGCAGCACCTCCTCTCTCAGCGTCAGCACCTCATTGCCTGCATGGCTCTCCCCAGTCTTCCTCTCTGATCAGAGCCCCCGTCTGCCCCCAGCCATCCCACTGAGAAAATGACAAGGCTAGCTGGAGAGGCTCTGCACAAGCCCCGGTGCTCGTGTACACCCAAACCTTGGTGCCGGGTCCTCTGCATTCTCTCCTTTTCCAGACCAGAGGCTGTGCCTCTTGCTGCCGGTCACGCTCTTGTTCACTAGACCCTGTCCTCTCCCACCCATTCCCCCTGCTCCTTCTGACAAGTCCCCTTCCCTCTTCAGCATCACCTGTGTTTCCCTTTACTGATTCATTCCTAACAGCCTATTAACAGTCTGTTATTGCTCCCATTTAAAAAATAGGACCAACAAAAATGATCAATCAAACACAACCTTTCTTTTTTTTTTCTTTTTCTTTCTTTTTCTCTCCCTCCCTCACTCTTTCTTTTCTTTCTCCCCTTCCCCACCAACTTTATTTAGCCATAATTGACAAATAGCATTGTGTAACTGTTTGGCATACCACGTGATGGTTAGATGTGCATATATATCATGAAAGGATGACCACAAAAATGCTAGCTGACGCATCTCTCACCCTCAAATAGTTACCTTTTTTGGTGTGTGATGAGAACATTTAAGATCTACTCTCTTAGCAAATTTCAGGTATGCAATACAGTGTTCTAACTGTAGTCAACAGTTGCATGCTGTACATGTTTCTAGGAGTTTGGCTTTTTTAGATTCCACATAGAAATAGCATCATGTAGTATTTTTATTTCTCTGTCTGACTTATTTAACTCAACATAACTCCTTAGTGTTTCATTCACATTGTCAAGCGTGGCAGGATTTCCTTTTATGTGACTGAACTATATTGTCATATATATTTATGTATATATCTCTCACATTTTCTTTATTTGTTCATCCCTGAGGGAAACTTCCATTGTTTCTCTCTCGTGACTATTTTGAATAATGCAGTGAACATGGGAGTGCAGGTATCTCTTCAACATAGTGATTTCATATCCTTCAGATATATACCCAGAAGTAGGATTGCTGAATCCTATGGTGATTTGATTTTTAACTTTTTGGGGAACATCCATGCTGTTTTCCACCATGGCTATACCAGCTCACATTCCCACCAACAGTGCACAAGGAGTCCTTTTTCTCCACATCCTCCCCAACACCTGTTCTTTTGTCTTTTTGATAATAGCCACTCTGACAGGTGTGAGGTGATATTTCACTGTGGCTTTGACTTGTGTTTCCCTGGTGATCAGTGATGTGGAGGACTGTTTCATTTACCTGCTAGCCATTTGCATCTCTTGTTTGGAAAAACGTCTTCTCAGGTCCTGTGCTCCCATATTTAAATCAGATTATTTGCCTTTTTGCTATTGAGCTGTATGCATTCCTTATTTAAATAAAAAACCACCGTTCTTTCATTTCTTCCTCCAATGATCACGCCGTTTCTCTACTCCCTTTTCAGTAACTGCTCTGTTGTCCAGTCTTTTCCTCCCATTCACCCTTGAATTCCCCGAAGTCAGGCTTTTGCCCCCATCCCTCCACCTATTACCTTCTAGTCGAGGTCACCAACAGCCTCCACAGCATTAACTTCAAGAGTCCACTCTCTGTCCTCACCTGACCCAACCTCTCAGCCACACTTGTTAATATTGATCACTCCCTTCCTCTACCGGGAAACATGTTTCTTCTCCTGGCTCCCACAGTCCCCACTCTGCTAATCACCTCCCTGCTCCGGACTACTGACGGCTCTCACTTCTCTGTGCTCACACGTCACTACTGTCCCTCAGCTCCAGGCGCGCTGGCCTGTTTATGATTCCTCAGCCATGTCAGGTGTGTTTCAGGGCCTTTGCACTTGCTATTTCTTCTGCCGCAGATGCTCTGCCATACCTGCATGAGTCTCCACTGTTCTCCTCCTGCAGGCGTTGGCTCGAATGTCCCCAGTGTTCCCCATGGCCTTTGCCTGCCCCTTGTCTCCACAGCCCATGTCATCGAGTTCACTCTTTTATGTACTTGTTTCATTTATTGTCTGTCTCCACCCACTGGGCTGTAAGCTCTGTGGGGGACTGGCTATCTGTTGTGTTCTCCACCACATTCCCAATGCCTGGGAAGTCGCCTGCCTGATAGGTGCCCGAGAAATATTTGTTGAATGAATGATGAAAACTGTTCTTGGTAAGTTAGTAATGTACTTGGAGAAATACTTCAGTAGAACCACTTGGATCTCATCGCTTACATTAATAGGAGTTTCAGATTCCTAGTTTTCTTTGAGTTATATGGCTTTGGAAAAACAAGGGTGTTTGGGAAGATGGAATGCCTTTCTTATTTTGCCAACCTTTCTGTATACATAGAAACACTTCCTCAGAATGTTACATTCCAAGTATATTTTTAAAGTCTGTCTTGTAAACACAAGAGGATGCCATTTGGGGGCCAAACTGAATGACAGGGGCAGGATCAGAGAGAAGCGGCTGAGAACTGGCCTTAATGCGCCTCATTTTGATTCAGAAGCATAGTCTAAGTGCAGGTTAAGAGACTGCTGAAAATATAGCTGCCTGCCTGTCTTTGATGCCTCCTTCCTAGGTTGGGCCTTCCCATTTAGTTCCTCTTCCCCACTCACATGAGCACACGGCACATGCCTTGTACAATCCCCTCCCTCTGCCTTTTCTCAAGTAGTTTTTTCTTTCTTCAAAAATCCCTTCTCCTCTATTTCTGCTTACTGAAGTTCCTTTCCTGTCAAGGCCCAGAACAAACACAGGCTTGTCTGTGTAGCTTTTCCAGATCCTTTCCTGTCAGCACGGACTCCCCCTGTGGACTGTGCTTAGAGCAGGAAGCCACACTGTGCCTCAGTTTTGCTCTGGACAGACACACAGATACACACAGACACACAGACACGCACACCCTCAGGCATAGATACACATGCACATACATAGGTATAGCATACACACACACACACAAAAATACACACCAAATATAAGCACATTGAGGGCAGGGATTGTATTTTACTTTTCTGGAGTTTCCAACGCAGACAAAATGCCCTGGACAGTGAAAGTATTCAATATAATCAGAAATGTGATAAAACGGACACAAATCCTTTTTCAGTAGATAAAAGGTCATTCTTATAAATTCCTGCTGCTGGTTATTTTCCTTTTCCTCTTGTTTTGTGTCTGTTTAGACATTCTGAAGAAAAGCCCCTTGTGGACCCCATGAAGGCCTCCTGCTTAGGCCAGGGCTGAACTGTGCGCCTCGCCCAACACCATGGGTGTGATCCCGGGCGCTTGAATGTGTCCACAGGTGGAGGCTGTTCTGTTGGCAAAGGAGAAAACAGGTTAAACAACTTACAGAAGAATGTCCTGCAAGGCAGAGCTAAATTTCAACCTCACTGCTTCTCAGAAATGCTTGTCTGGTGGTTTAAGCATGATACTACACTGACACCAGGCCAGTTCTTCAATCAGAATCGACACAAGTGCCAATCTCAGAATTCAAGAAAGGAAGGTAAAACCAGTCATGGTTATTGAGGGTTATTGAGGCTTTTCTTGGGCTTTCCTGGTGGCTCAGATGGTAAGGAATCTGCCTACAATGCAGGAGACTCAGATTTGATCCCTGGGTTGGGAAGATTCCCTGGAGGAGGGAATGGCAACCCATTCCAGTTTTCTTGCCTGAAGAATCCCGTGGACAGAGGAACCTGTAGACTACAGTCATGGGGTTGCAAAGAGTTGGACATGACTAAGCAACTAACACACACAACACATTTTCTATCAATACTTTCTCCTTGTGACACAGGTCAATTCCAAGGTCATTGAACCTACTTTCCCACCTCCTTTCCTGATATTTTGTGAGTAAGACCAGAAGAAGGGAGCACCGGAGAAGCAGATCACCGAGTCACGCAGACCTGGCCTCAGTGGCACTACTGCCTTTGCCAGCAGAAAGAATTAGGCAAATTAGACAAGGGCCACAAGCCAGCAGGGTCTTGTGGGAGCCTCACTGATGTCTGAGACATTGGGCATTGAGTCCCAGAGGAGGGAAGGTCAGCTTGATCTTGGCTGGGCTGTCCGTGGGCACCATGTGCTGGAAATCATCCATGTTGAAAAAACATATGTTAGCACTGAGAAACCCACAACTAGGATCACTCCAAAAAAAAGGAGAGAGTATTCCTATTTCATCACCTTAAGAAAAATCTAGTTATATCAAGTGTATTTTATTAAGCATAAACTAAAATGCTCTATTTGTAAGGACTCCGATAATGCTGAGTAAATAACTTGAATTTGCCGAGTGCTGTGGAGTAAAGAAAACAACAGGCAGCTGCTGGGCACTCCAGCTGGGATGAAAGGTACTTCCAAGAGAGCATTTGCCTAACAGACTCTGCTAGCTCTGGCCTGCCAGTATTTGCATGCTACAGGGCTGGGTCCCTCTCCATTGTATACTTATTTAAAAGTAGTACTTATCTAATGACTTACATACACTCCATTAAAAAAGTGAGGGACAAAAGAGACGAAGTGGTCCAAATCAGTTTAGCAATCCAAGAGGCATAGTGGAAATCAGATATTTAATGAATGGTTTATGAGTTACCTTGTAGGGGTGCAGAGTAACTTATAACAGGTAAACACTCCTTGCAACACTTTGCCACCAGCCTGATTTTGTGCCCCAAGTTACCTGATGGTAACAGGATCCTGGCTGGAGGCGAAATTTGTGCTTGGAAGCAAGGTAAATCCAGGAAATGGCCAATTATTGACTCCTCTGGATTAAGAAGGGGAATGTGTCCTAAAGAACATTACTTACTCTAGTGATCTGTGGTGATTTCTGTTGTCATGAGAGAGCATGACATTTCATCTGTCGTCTTGTAGATCTCTTCATTTCATCTGTCATCTTGTAGATCATGCATGTTTGTGTTGATCCACGTAAGTCAGGACATTTCTGAGCTCAGAGGTAGTGCTGTCTGGAGACCATATCAAAGGGCCCACAGTCCAGTCCACAGGTTGAACTTCATTTTTCCTAAAGCTTTATGTTTTTCTAGCACTTTCACAAGTTCCGATTCGCCCAATACAGGTTTTCCCTCTTGCTGGCCCTTTGCTTCATTTTGCTCATATGTCAGATAAAGATGGAGATGTCACCTCTTCCAGAAGTCTTGATATAAAAGATAATGGACCTGGAAACCACAAAATATATTTAGTGTACAATTTTATTTTATTGTGTATAACTCAAAATGCTAACTTTTTATAAGAGTAATGCAGTTACGAAGCAGGGTTATTGATACTGCCTTGTATCCCATGGTAATTCCTGTATTTTCATTGGTCTTTTTAGGTAAGAGGCAGTGAGGACTGAGCTATAAACACAAATAACTGATACCTGGGACAGAAAGTGACAAGCATTTTAAGAGACAAATTAACAACTCTTCATGAGAGCACAGATGAGCGCATCAGTGTCTAAGAAAGAGAAACAGGAAAGACAAAAAAATAGCATGAATTGACAACTCGGAGGCAAGAATACAGAGGGACCCAGTGGGAGTAGATTTCATTAGAACTCTGGGCACCAGAGGGACAAGAGCACAAGTTAGATTAGGAAAAAAGATAGGGCTCAGATTACAGAAGGTCTTACATGTTAGATGGAGGAGTATGGACTTCAGGATAGAGGCAGTGGTGAGCAGTGATGAGAGAGACTGGAAGCGATACATCAAACAAAACTTGATGATGTCTCGAAAGAGGACATTTCAGAGAGAATAGAGAGGAGGGTGAGGCAAGAAATAACCTGAGTGCAGAAGAGACAGGAATGGACCATGAATGAAATATGAGAAACAAAGGTGAACTGGTGAGAGGAGGTGGGGGGAGGGATCAGGAGGTTTATTAGAACATGTGGTATCTTCCTGGTCCTTAGGCACTGGTTTCTGAGTAGACAACCTTGAGAAAATATTGCCCTTTTACATTCTTTCTCAATTTTGTGTGATGCTATTTTCTACTTTTAAGTATGCTCAAAAATAGCCAAAGATACAGCATTGTACTTTGAGCCAGCAAAATAAGATGATGAGTCAAACTGGTAGAGTTAATAAAAAAGAGAGCAGTGATTCATTTTTCAGGCTTGAAGAATTTCTCTTTTTCAAAAACACCAAAACAAGAAACTCTCAAGCAGATAAATTAGCAGGTGATTATTTGAATAACAAAAGGAATCTTTTCCAAAAGCTTTCCTTCAAGGATTCTTTAAATAGTAAGGACCTTGTCTTCACTCATTTAAAATGTCATTTATTTGTAGGTGTTTGATAAAACGCAGAAACAAGCTTATCACATAAAGCATGATATCCCCTAGAACTACATTTTAGCCTGTGCAATATTTTTAAAAATGCTTATTTATATATGTATGAAGTAACTATCACATAAATACTCTAAGAATTTTAATGAGTATATTTTCATTTTGTTAGCTTTGGAAAATTAAAGCTGTAACTTTTTATTAAACATAAATGGTGAGAGTAAAATTTGCTAATTATTTTGATTACTGTCATTTGTAGTCTCCTAATAAATAGAGTCTAGAAGTTCTTTGTGATTTTTTTCTTAAAAATAAGCCTTTTAATAAAAAAAGCTTTTATAATGTCAGCTCTGTAAAACCCTAACAATAGCTTCCTTTTAAATCCTTAAAAGAGATAAATTTAACTGTTTTAGGCTTTTCTAGACGTTCCTAGTTTTCTTCTATAGGATGTTTTTTTAAAATTACTCTCTGCTATCCAAAAGACTTGAAAGGAAGGATTTGAACAGGTATTTATTTGTATGCCTGTGTTTATAGCAGCATTATTCACAATATCCAAAAAGTAGAAGCAACCCAATATCAGTGAGTGAATGAATAAACAAAATGGAACATTATGCACCTTTAAAAAGGATAGCATTCTGACACCTACTACAACATGGATGATCTTAAAGAAGTTATGCTAAGTGAAATAACCCAGACACAAAAAAGACAAATACTGCATGATTCCACTCATATAAGTACCTAGAGCAGTCAAATTCATAGAGATGAAAAGTAGAAATATGATTGCCAGTGGCCAGAGGAAGTGGGGAAAGGGGAGTTAGTGTTTAATGGGCAGAGTTTTAGTTTGGAAAGATGAAAAAGTTCTGGAGATGGGTGGTTGCATGGCAATATGAATGTACTTGGTATCACTGAACTAAACACTTTTTCACTTTTTTGGTAAAGATGGTGAATTTGTTATGTATATTTAATCCCCCTTAAAATCCATAAGAACTCTCTGCTAAACTGTAGTTCTGTAGAAACTGTCTTAGAAAAGGACAGCAGCAGTGGCCAGTCTAAACTGCCTGGGTGTCCTTAGGGCTGTGGTTTTCCAGCCTTGATGGTTGGCCCTTCCTCAGGGGTCCTCTAGCTTTGCCCCTGCTCCCCAAGAGGAAGTGCATCTCCTTGCCGTCACGTGTTGACGCTGACCTCTGTTTCCTGGTTGATGTTGACCTCTGTTTCCCGGCAACCTTTCCTTAGAGCTATTGATGTGTTCACCTATATTCTCCACAACAAGGTGGCTTACGGTCTGCCTCTGTGTCAGTTACTTTCATGACACACTTCATTCATAGAGATCATTCTTTTCATTTTCCTCATTCTTGGCAGTCTGTGCCAGGCTTGCCTCCACGTACGTTATCCCTCTGGGGCTTTTCCACTCCTCTCAGGGCTCTGCCTGAAGGTGGTTGGGGATTAGGGTTGCTTCTCAGGGCACCCCCCCACCCCAGCCTCTAATACCTTTCTACCAACCGCTACTGGTCTGCTCACTTCCTGAGTCTATGAGACTTTATCAGAGCCTTTGCTTACTTGACACCATCTTTCCAAATCTTTAGCCCATGCCGGGACCCAAGGTTTAGAAACAGAAAAGGTTATCGATTGCTTTGTTTTCTGCCATTGTGCTATGTCATCCCTTCTCTCTAAAGGAATGAAAGCAGTGGTTGTAGCTGATTGAATGAACAAGGGTCACTGAGTCCCCAGGCAAAACACAAAACAAACACACAGAGAGCCGTTGGGGTGCGTGCTTCAAAATATTCTCTGACTCTAATGTTTCAACTCCACGGTTTAGTAGAAGTTCAGGGAGAGAAGAGGACATAAATTAGTGAGCCAAACCAAATTTGCAGATGACTAAACCTGATCCTTTGGTATCCCCAAGAGATTTATAGGATGTGAAGTGTAGCCGAGAGTTAAGAAACCAAAAATGACTGAGGGAGCAAATGAATAAACATATTCAGAGAGGCTTAGCTAAGCTGTAATCGTACAGAGAGATGATACCTCATAACCAAATTGCATTAAAAATTGTAAAATGTGATCAAGTGAACAATAACTGTCTTGCTTAAGCTGCTTTGGAAATCTAGATCTTCATATTTTAGGATAAAATGGAATATTCTTACATAGTGTTATGTGAAAATGGAACTATTTTAATTTCAGTGTTGGCTGGGTACCCAATAGAATAAATGTGCCATTTCAAAATTTGGGAAGGACGCACATACTCTGGTTTTGTGACCCTGACCCCTTCTCCACTGACAGTGTAACAAGATGGAGAGTTAGCATTTTGGAGCAAACCATGTGTTATGCTCCAAATATCATCACCTCTAAAAAAGGTATGAAGTGTGCTTGCCTCTTTCTTCAGGCACAGAAACAGCAGCTTCCCCTGGACCTCTTTCAGGGTTTAATAGGTGTCCTCTACGCTTGGGGGGGCACAGGGAACAAGAGGCCTGATCCACACCCAAAGGAGGGGAGCCTCTGGATGGATTTCAGCAGCTGGGGAAGGAGCCCTGAGGCATCTGTCTGCATGCAGGATACCTCAGGTGTGAGATCCTCCTTGATTGTGGGGGAACCCACGAAGTCACTCCAGAAGAAGAATATTCTTTATTGTGTTTTATTTTATTACACTGGACTGAGTAAGTATTAGTAAGTAAGAAAGTAAGTATTAGTCGCTCAGTCGTGTCTGACTCTTTGCAGTCTCATGGACTGTAGCCCACCAGGCTCCTCTGTCCATGAAATTCTTTAGGCAAGAATACTGGAGTGAGTTGCCATTTTCTTCTTTGACACTGGAATAAACATATTAGTAATTCCACTTTGTGTTATGAAAGTTGAGTTGCTGACAAACTTCTTGTTATACAAAGGCATCTGAAAGACATGGGATTTGCCCATGGGAAGAGTTAACTTTACCAGAATAAATTTAAAGTTTGGATGATGGGAGACAAAAATAATGTTGCCCATGAATTTTGCTTGTTCAAAATAGTACTTACATATATTAAGGTTTCAAAGAGATAAACAATGTCCATAGCCAACAAATATCTTTAAGTTCTTAGTATGTCAGGCAACCCTGCTAGATGCTGGGCTAGAAATTACATAGAAAGCACATTCCCATTCCTTTATCTATTGTTCATATTCTACATGTTAAAAATCATAAAATCATTATTTAGCACCCAGCATTTCGATGGGGTTAGTTTCTTCCCTGACAGAGATAACTTTTTTTTTTTTTAGTTTTGACACTTACTCTGATTTATTACAAAGTTTGTGATTTGTAAGAAAAATTTGCATTTGTTAAAGCTTAGAGACATGATAAAATGAAAAATTGAGTCAATAGCTGGATAATTTTTAGAGATGAAGTAATCAAAGCAATTGTAGACTTAGCTATTTGGTTTACATTGCACAGAATGCAAAGTCTGATAAAGTTTACTTGTGTAGGAAAAAAACCACATGGGCTGCCCAGAAAGTAACTCTGCACGCCCACGTTTTATTCTTCTGAATACAAAAGCACACCCACACGGTGTGGATCTCTCTTGCTTTCTCTCCCTCTTCTTCCTCCCCCTTCTCCTCCATTTCTATTTCCCTCCCCCTCTCTCTCTTGCTCCCTCTCTCTCTTTCTCTCTCTCTCTGTCCTCTCTCTCCCCCTCTCCCTCTCCCTCTCTCTCTCCCCCCTCCTTCTTCCCCTCTCCCTCTCTTTCTCTCTCTCCCTCTCAATCTCTCTGTGTCTTTGTCTCCCTTTCTCTTTTTCTTTCCCTCTTCTTTGATCCCCCTTCCCCCCACTGTCACCATAGCTTTTTAGTCACATACTTATTTGAATCTTATCTACATGTTAGATTTCTGTGTTTCATGTCTAGAATGCTCACACCTAGGAGGGGAAAATGCAGAATGACTGTCAAGCAAATATCTCAGAATGTTCCCAGTATTGTGATTTGCTTTTAATCCCATTGTGAGGTAGGATTTTTGTCTGGAAGCTGGTATGTTCATTGATTAAGTAGCACACAGTGTGAGCCAAGAAATCTTTAGTCCCTAAACTAGCTGCATATTAAGCAGATCTGAAAGCATTGTATTGCTCTGTCAGTTTCCTGGGAGGGTGTTTCAAGCTTAAAAATTGTAGTCAATGTAAACATTTCCTGAGAAGTTAATTATTAGCATCTCCTGAAAATGGAAGGACTGGCATCATGTAAAAGAAAGGAGAATGTTCAGATTAAGTAGCTTGTTTAATAAACAATGAGGTGGATCCACAAAGCAAAAAGTGTAGAAGGAGGGATAGTGATGGGAAGACAAAGTCCCTCTATGATGTACCACTAATGAGAGTGCTGATTGCCAAGAAGGTTTGCATCAGTGCAGGCACATAACAGGAAAAGGAGATATGGAGAGCTACAAGAAAGGACAAAATGGTCTAGCAGATGTTTCATGAACTGCTGTATCTTTGACCTGTGACAAATTCACCCTCCAAAAGCAAACAGAGGTCCAGAACATCTAGTGTCCAAGGTGACTTTTCAAATGCTTTGTTTATTATTTAAATGTTGAGCAGACCACTTAATTCAGGGTGACCAACAGGTTAGAATTGCTGCAGACTCCCTCCTGTCTGAGTAGTTTTGTTAGCATCTTTGAGGGATGACATGAGAATATAATCAGCTCAAGGGGTATTGCTCTGGGTGATTTGCATTCTGCAGACTTCCTGGTACTTTCTGTCCTCTAGCACAGTAACCAGCATATCCTACAGAGGTGTGAAGTGTCTAATAATTAGGCCTCTTCATTTTAGATGTGATTTGTTATGTCCAAGCCATTTTAGTGTTAAGAATATAATTTATTGTGATGCCATTTTCAAGGGAGCTGCCCCAAGTCCCCATTTGGCCGACAATAGGAGAGGGATGTAAACAGATCCATCCGATCAATGTTCATTGTTTCCCCTTCAGCTAAATCCTTTGAACAGACCTAGGAAGTTGATATTTTAAAAGCCTAGTTTTCTATAAATCTAATGGCCCCCAACTCAGGATCATTTTAAATATTTTTTAGAGTTCTACAACCTGCTATATGCATTTTGAAAAGTCTAATTTAAAAATCTAAATGGAAATTGTTATCTGTACATAATTATATAATAAATTTGATTTGCTTTGGAAATAAAATCTTTTGAAACATTCAGACTGAAAAAAATAATGAAAGGGGTCTTTGATTTACAAGGCTGGTAACTATGGTTTAGTCAGCCTCCGTTTACAGCTAGTGTTGTTGCTAACGTGGTGGACAGAATAACAGCCCTCCCCAAAATGTCTTTGTTCTAACCCCTGGAACCTCTGACTGTGTTGTTTCATGGCAAGGGGGAAGTAAGATTGCAGATGGAATTAGAGCTGCTGATCAACTGACCTTGAGAAGGAAGCTTATCCTGAGTTATCAGGGTGGCCCGATATAATCACAGGAGTCCTTTTAAGTGAAAGAGAGAAGTTGGAGGGTCGAGTCAGAGAGAGATTTGAGGATGCTATGCTGTTATGAAGATAGACAAAGGGGCCAGAGACAAGGAAGGCAGACAGTTTCTTGAAGCTGGAAAAGGAAGGTAAAGGATTCTTTTCTAGAGCCTCCAGAAGAGGCCAGGCCCAGCTAAAACCTTTATTTTAGCCCAGTGAGACCTATATTTTGAAATTCTGGCCTTCAGAACTATAAGGTAATACATTTGTGTTGTTTTAAGCCATCAAGTTTGTGGCAATTTGTTATAGCAACAATGAGAAGCTAATGCATTTAGTGTAATATTTTTCTAGATTTTGTTCATTTACTTTTTAAAATTTATTTTTAATAGAGGATAATTGCTTTATAATGTTATGTTGGTTTTTGCCATATAATAATGTGGATCAATCATTTGTTGTTGTTATTCAGTTGCTAAGTCATGTCCAACTCTTTCCAACCCCATGAACCACAGCACACCAGGCTTCGCTGAATCAGCCATAAGAATACTTATGTCGCCTCTCTCTTGAACTTCCCTCCCACTCCCTACCCCATCCCATCTCTCTAGGTCATTACAAAGTACCAGGTTGAGCTCCTGCTGTTATATAGCTTCTTTCCACAAGCTATCTATTTCACCTGTGATTAGGTATATGTTTCAGTGCTATTTTGGTCATTTAAATAAACCAGTTAACATGAGTACCATGGCATACAGATAACTG